AGACAGAGTGCCTTATGCGGTGCTTCAGGGCCGGGGGCGGGCATGCTTTGGTGCCGGCGGTCCGTGGCTCGCGGCGCACAACTGTGCCACGCAGCAGTGAGACATTGATCGATGTCACTCTCGTGACGAAGCTGCGCTTGCACTGCTCGCTGAAACTGCGGAACAAGGTCTGGCAGTTGCTGCAGGGTTTGGCGTATGTTATGAGCCTTTGTCACCGGGGGCTTGCTTCTGTGAGGAACCTTGGGTGCGTCGAATCGGCACTCCACTGGAATGTGTCTGAACCCAGTGGGATGGGTCAGGGGCGAGTCGTGCAAGGGTCGCGCCTTCATGCTTAGCTCAGAGCACGGCATTCGGCACAAAATGAAGTCTAACTGCACAGCATTGCCTGCCGGCTGGAGATAGGTGGCTGCCGTACGTCCACTTCTGCCCCAAGTATTAACAGCATTGAGGTTTAGGGAGGTGACCAGGGACTGGAAGGCGTGCTGATCTTTGTGTGGGTTCCTGGCATGTACGGCTACACCATCTCCTATGTGCGGGGGCTGTGGTCGGAGGGTGGAGTTGGCATCACCCGCTATGAGAAGCAAGTTACGTCTAGGTACTGTGTGAACCCATTTGCGGATGGCTGCCCAGACCGTCTCCCGTTGCTGGACAAGTTGGGCTGTTCTGTCATCGGCGTGCCCAGACAGCTGCTTGTGGTGGAGGTTCCATGCATGTTGGTATAGGCCCAGGACATCAATGGCGGGCTGGGATTCTATTCTAAGGTGAACCAATCGGCCTGGAATCAGCTCGGAGTACCTTAGCAGGTCCTTATGTCCAAAAGTCTTAGCAACCATAAACAAAATGCCTCCTTGCGTTGTCTGGGTGCCGGAATGTATGCAGTGCCAAAACTCCGTGTCGAATTCGGAGCTGGCAGGCCAGTGACTCTCCTGCACGACTACCATATGAAGGTCATGCTTACGGTGTTGGTCATCGGCCCAGGAGATTAGTTCAGCATACCTAGTGGAATGTAATCCGCCACTATTCCATGTAACCATCCTAACTCGTGCTTGGCGAGAGTCACTGGACGGGTGCTGACTCGGAGAAGCGGCCGGCTGGTCGATTCGCAGGGGTCTACGATGGTGGGCTGTTCTAGCTGGAAGAATGTGCGCTCCGAGATCCGCTATTGTGCAATACCTGCCCCTGTACATAGTTCCCTGGCCGTCTCTTAGGGCACGCTGTTGGGCCCGGCGGAAAGAGCGCTTACCCGCTGCGGTTCGTGCTGCGAAGCCACCTGCCGGTGGACGCCACTGGGCTCCTTGTTGTCCCGGGATTGCTGGGGTGGAGTCAGGGTGGGCCTGATTCGGGAATCCTGCCGTCAGGGTACATAGCTGGGTCCATGTTAGGAGCATGAGTAGACACTGTCTTCCAAGGCGCAGGTGACTATGGGACGCATTTAGGGTGTGCTTAGCCTGTAGGGTCCTATGTGTTGGGCTCTTCAGGAGCCAGCTGCTGCCGCGCAGGGTGTGGTGCCGAATTGTTTGCAGGCGTGCACCGTGCATTATCCTCAAGCGTCGTCGGTACTGGCCTGGCAGAAGTCGGGTGGTGATCCACCGAGGCTTGGGACTATGCAAGTGCCGCCATGTGCAGCACTTCAGAAGCAGCCACATGCCGAGCACACATCCTAGCAGCAGCGTACCTGAGAAGGAGGCGGCGTGGGCAGAGTCTGAGCTCCGAATGCCTCTCCTCCAAGTGCGGGAAAAAGAGTGAAACCTTGTACAAACAGCGACTGTGGTTAGTTCGGAGTGCTGGGTACTGTTAGCTTGGCCAAGAGTACTGGGTATCAAAGGGTCGAAAGGCTTCACTTCAGAGTAAAGAAAGCTTGAGGGCTGCTTGTTGCAAGCTACAGGAGAGGTTCGACCAAACTGATCTCCTACCCTCACGTCTACCCATGCGGTGGGGTGCTCAGGTCCTGGATGTCGTTTGTCGCATGGGTCCCCGGACTTGGGACCGGGGCGGCCACCACGGATCAGCAGTGCCCCATCTTCCTCTATGCCGCTGCTGGCACTACAGCTGCGCGCTGGAGCTCGACGCTGCAGACTGGTCCTTGTATGGGCTGCGGAAGCGCGAAAACCAATCTTGTAGTTCTTGTTGCCGATCAGAACCCAGAAGCGGCCAGATGGACAGAATGAGCTCCTGGTAGAAAGCCAAAGCACAAATGTCGACCAGCTCGTATGCCAGCGTGGTGGTCTTGGAGAAGAAGAGCTGTTCGTCCAGCCGGCGTGCAAGCAGGGTCTGCATCTGTTGCACCAACAGTGCTTTGGGTGGATCGCCTTGTTGTCCTCTGGCGAATATCCACCCCATGTCGTTGGGAAGGACAGGGTTTTCCAGCGCGCTACGAAGGGACGCCAAGTCTTGGGAAAATTCCGTTCCAGTTGGCTCCAGTAGCCATGGTTGTACCAGCTGTTCCATCTCCGCAGGGCTGCATCCACTGGACCGGCGGCGAAAGCCGCTGAGGCGTTGTACCACGCTCCTCTCAGCATGGCCCTGCTCTCGAAACCGTTGTTCCATGTAGCAGCTGCAGAGTTTGCATAACACTTGTCTGCGAAACCAGCTGAGCCGATCCGACATGTCGTGGTTGAGGAAGTGCTCCCTGGGCTGCTGTGGTCCAAAGGCGGATGCAGGTTGGGACGATGAGCTAGGTCCATGGTCGCTACCGTCCAGTTCGCTGTCCAGAGGAGGTTGCTCCGGGCGCGGGTCGGCGTGGGTTGCGCTGTCGGCAGATTCAAGATCGCTAAGATGAGCAGAGCCTGGGGACATCGAAGGGTCCTCATCGGAATCAAAGCTCGAAGACGATCCATGGAGAGAGCGCGGCATGTGCAAGGCATAAAGGACAGGGCCCTATAAAGGGTGGCCCGCGCGTTGGGCCGAGACGCTTATATATGTATATATATATATATATATGGTCTTATGTGACTGATGTGGCTGAATGCTCGTACTCGTGTGCATGCATCTGTGTATATATACACATACATATATACACATCTGTATACTTATGCATGGACAACTGTAGATATGAAGGTGCGTACATAACTACAGCGAACGTGTGCACAGGCACGTGAGGAAACTCGCCGCAACCAAAGAAGACAAGCCCCCTTGACAGGCTCCCAGGAACTCAGTGTGTGAAGTCGCTGCCTGTTGACAGGTGAACCCAGCCCCAAAAAGCCACGTCCGTTGCCCAACACTTCTGCATGAATTTGGGCCTCCTGCATTGCCTTGCCAAGACTAACCCATGTGCCGAAAGCAGAGCACCCGATGCCAAGGTGGGTAGAACTCTCGTTGCGCTGGCTCGTGGCGTGTGGCCGCTTCAGCGGGAAGCGCGGTTTCAAGGAGTGGGGTCTTTGGGAGTGTGGGGATTGTGAGACAACTTGCGGGTTCGAGGTGACTAGGGTATTGACAATACACATTGGCATCTTCGTTGGCCAACGATGCCGTTTTCGATTTTCCATTGTAGTGGGGAGGACAGTGGAAACGATGCTGAGGTTGCAATGCTGCCGATGATGGTGATGATGACGGGGCATTGATGGTGTCGTTCTTTGTTTTGCCGCGTCCCGTATGTGCTGCTCCCGTAATAATTGCCAGTGGTATTGCCATCGCTGGTACCACGGAACCAGTCTTCGCTTGTATCGTGATGATTCTGGAGAGATCCTTAAAAGAGGCATCATCACGATCACCGTCAGGGCCTCCAGCAACATCACCATTATCATCACCATCACACTCATCGCCATTATCCTGATCCTCACCCGTACTGCCATCATTACCTTCATCATCACTCGCCTGCTGCCCTTGTCGTTGTTATCCTTCCGCTCGGTACCATGCACAGCCGCAGGACCGTGTTCACAAAAGTCATGAGCCAAGGCGTAGAGCAGCCTCCAAGTCTTCAGATCCCCCGGAAGCGCGAAGTGCCCGCCGGTTCCAGGAGAATGCGCAGTACTTTCTAGGTACAGGAGCTGCCAAGGCAGTTCATTTTTGCCAGGCGCACCTGCGCTGTGCTTCAGGGCACTGCTTTGCTATTGTGACGATGTTGGTTGAATTGCGACGGATTGTGTTTCAGTTTTGGGCAGTTTTAATCGAGTGTTGATGTTGATTCTCATTGGGGAGCCTCACGCTCCAAGCCTACGGCGGCTTTACAAATGCTTCCCTGGCATGGTTACCACGTCAGATGCACAGCGTGCATGTGCCGGAGTACTGTTACCATTACGAGTCATGCTACATCTGGAGCGCATGTGGACCAGGACTACAACCTACTACAAGTGTAAGGGGATGACGCACTGCACTTCCAAGTCTTGTAAAAAGGCTCCCACAAGGCAAAAGGCAAACATGGAGGTCCCTTCAAAAATTCCCCATCCTCGGACATCGCTGTGACAGTGGGGCAATGCAAACCAGCTGCCCCTGTCATCGCTCAAACCCTCGAAGCCCTCTCAGAACCGAGACCCTGAGATCTTGCTGCTGTGTGGCGGCATTGTCACAGTTTTCGTCACCGCAGCCTCCCTCCTAGGCTGGGCCTGGGCACTGGGTCTGCTTTGCTTGTGGTATGTGGGCCCCGTAGTCTTCTGGCAGGAGATGTCTTGGCTCGGATCCGCCTGGGCGAGACGCGACCTCTGAAAGGCACCCTAAAGGCTCTAAATCCGAAGCCCCAAAACCCATGAGCCCAAGCCCTGAGCCGTCAACCCTACGGAAGCTTCAGAGCCCGATCTCCTTGCGAGGCTGCAGCGCTCGCGAGATGTTGGCGAGCATTTGTACAGAGGCCCAGTTGGGGTTTAGGGTTTAGGGTTTCCCTTGAGCGAAGAGCAATCGCCTTGTCCATCTATGGGAGGGGGTCTGGCATAAGCAAGAGGACCGGTCGCATCCGAATCCTAACTCCAATAGTTCTCCAGTGTCAACAGTCAACAGCACAAAGGGTGCAAGGGAGGACCTGTTCTTTCAGAAGCCTCGAACCCTCTTGGCAGTTCCCGAAGCCTTATGCAATCCATGAGCCTGCCAACATGGATGCGGAAGTGATTCTCAGGATTCATTGTTTGAGACAGGGTGACATCAAACTCGGGCTTCAAAGCTCATGGCGTAGATACACTGTGTCCGTCAGCAAATGCGCTTCGGAAATTCGTTCTTCGAAGCCCGACTGGGAGCTGTTGTAGGCGCAATTGATTCCACCGCGTTTCCGCCACGGTGCCCTCAGCCCAACCCGGCATTCAAATTCGCGGAGGAGTCCTGAAGGGGACCGCATGCAGAACCACCGCCAAAGTCTTGACCCCGAGTTCGTCCCAACAGTAGCAGCAGTCGTCATCGTCGTCGTAATAGGAAGTTATCTTCGACGCCGCCGCCGTCGTCGTCGTCAAAGAACAGCGAGAGACTAAGTACACAAGAAATTGCCAGAGGAGGTTCCAGGTAGCGGTGCTCCTTTGCGTCGCCTCTGCCGGGCGCACCCTGCGCCGTGTGACAGGGCAGAGTGGATGGTGGGATTCCACATTTGGGGTAATTTCCTACATTGGGGTCGGTGACCCTCCTTGTTACAAGGGTGCCGTACTCTTCTGGGGATCCTAAACACAACACGGACCTTCTCATAGAGAGGTACCCATATGGGGGTTCCCGAAAATTAGGGGACCCTAATATAGTACCCTAAATAGTAGGATCCTTATTATAAGAACACCAAAATAAGGTACCCCTTATTTTCGGAAACTCCCATATGGCCCCTATGCAGGTTTCAGACCTTTGGGGCGCAGCTGCGCCGTCGGGTTTTGGTTCAGCGTGGCCTGAGGTAGCAAATCCAAAAATGAGTTGCAACATGGGAGCTTCCGAAGATAAGGGGTGCCCCATTTTGGGGTCCTTATCATAAGGATCCTACTATTTGGGGTACTATATTAGAGTCCCCTATTTTCGAAAACCCCCACATTGCACCAGACTACCCTTGCGGAGCACAGGTCTCAAACCTCACTACTCGGGTGGCTCGGGTCATTGCTTATGACTGTGAATGCTACTGAGGGAGACTTCTGTGAAGTATGCCTCCCAATCCTTGGCACGAAGACCCAGGAAGCCTTCGCTTCTTTGTGAGGGTCCTTCCAAGAGCGATGCCATTTCTACAGCCGTTGCCTTCTGAATGATTTCGGGAAGTTGCCAGACCTCGGGCTCGTCGCTCTTTCGGAAGCGAGAGGTCATTGAGAAAGGTCTTCATGCAGAGCACGTGAAAGCAGTTGGTAAATTACAGAACCTGACGGTCCTGTCTTGCAACAGGGCCCAAAGAGGACCACGGTTGAGAGCAACGCAAGTCCTGTGCGTGGGTTTGGGAGCGTGAGGCATGCCCAGAGAGCGCGTCCTGCTGCTCATTTCGCTGGCCGTCTTTCCCCTGGCTTGCCAAAAAAGCTCCTGGGACGACAGCTTACACTCTTCAGGACCGCGCAGTACTACTTGGAGGATCATGGGACTTAGTAAGTAAGGTTATAAGTCCCTTAATTGGGGTTATAAGTAAATATAGGTATAGTTACCTTAATTATAACCCTACTTACTAAGTCCCATGATCCTTTAAGTAGACCACAAGCACAAGCCCAAACAGTCTAGGCCAGGAATGGAAACCCCTGACCCCGAAGCCCTGATCCGCCTGAAGCCTCAAATCTTGGTCTGAGTCCCCAGGTTTGCACTCCCTCACGGGCGTCTCGATGCTTAGTTTCTTGTGCCTTGCCTGAGTCGATAGAAACTTTCATGGTTCCTTCTAGGTCAGGGCGCGTGTAGGGCCCGGACTTTCGTAAACGGCCAGGATCCTGGTAACAGCTCGGCAGAGCTGGCTTGCCATTCACTCGTGCGAGAACGGGAGGAAGCCGCAGACACAACACCCTGAGAAATCTGACCTCCTAGCTCGAAAGTCGGTCTCGAAACCCTTGAGGTCACAGTTTCGGCAATTGCCGTGTGAACCACGCCAGTAAGTAAATTGCTGCTAATTCAGGGTGTCAGGAGCAACAAGAGCAAGGAGACGAGGATCAAATGTTCTACATAGGTCCCGAGCTTGAGAACAAGTTTGTAAGGAAGACGAAGACACGAAACTTAAGTGATACCTGCAGGGGTCGCACCGCAGACACACGAGTCGTAGCAGTCGCAGCACTGGTCGCGGCCTTTGCATAGACCGTCGGACTCAGGAATCCAGTTCCACAGCAATCGTAGTAATGGTAGTCGTCGTAGTCATCACAGTGGCTGCCCCCTTTGAGGTGCCTGTCTTACTTCTTCGTCGTGTTGCCGCCCGGCATGAGGTTTTCGTTTGGGGTGTGGGTTGTAGAGCTTGCGATCTTTAGATGAAGGGCTTCGGGTTCGGGATTTGGGGCTGCGCCGTCTTTACTGTGATATTAGTGGCAGCGGTGGTGGCGCAGTACCAGTATTTGTTGTCGCTGCTGGTGTTGGAGTCGTTCTCATTCGTGTTTCCGTTGGTGTCTGCCCGGAGTTTGCCACGGTCGTTGTTCAGTTCTTTGCTGCTGGAGTTGTGGTTCTGGTTGTGTCGTTGTTGTTCTTGCTGGTGTTGTCATTGTCACTCCTGCGGGTTGTGATGCGGCGATGTAGCTGGTGGTATTGCTGGTGTTGTGTTGCCGCTGCTGGTGGTGGTGGTGGTGGTGGTGGTGGTGGTGGTGGCGGTGGTGGCGGTGGTGGCGGCGGCGGCGGTGGTGGTGGTGGTGGTGGCAGTGGTGGTGGTGGCACGGTGGCTGCAGTGGTGGCCGCCATCTAAAATTTAAATTAAAGCGTAAAGCACCTCACTACAGAGCACCTGTACTGCAAGGGCGATGACATCGATGGGCATCGAAGAAAACGCAATGCAGAACCAAGG